TTGAATTAATTATGTCGCCGCTCAATTTTCGTAATTAACAACAATCTGATTGTTGGATCATCATGCAATTTTTTCTGCATGTTATTTATTGATTTCTAGACATTTCTGAACTTGTGTAATAGTCTGACGTTTAGATCTTCCCAATTTAAGAATCTAGTGTTATTGATCCCAGTGAGACTACTTTGATGATGATTGACTTCATAGTCAACGTGCTATGAATTATTCTGGTATCTCGTTTAATTATTGGATTCTAAGATAAGACTTGTATATTTTCATAGGTGTTGATCATGTCTGAGTGGTTTGATTTTCGTGCTAGAGTTGCTAGTAGCTTTAAGTCCAGGTGAGTGATTTTAGTATTATAAGATAAACTATTTTGCATATTAAAATTTCGTGTTATATACTTTGTGGATATAAACTGAATTTTTAAATGTGTTTATTGCCAGTCATCAATCTGCTATTTGAAATGATATATCTATGTATATTTAAAATGACTGCGAAATGAGAGGGCTAGTAGATGATTGTTAAGTTGGAATACTTTCTTTCTCGTTTCCTATGTGAATATCAAATCCCTACAGGACTTCTTTTCTTGCTGATTCCATGAGAGCTTCTAGAATCCTACTTTACTTTCAGTAGATTCCATGAGTGATTATGGAACGCTACTTCTGTTTGATTCCATTGAAAGTTCTGGAATCCTACTCAGTTCCTTGAGAGTTTGAGGAACCCAGTGCATAGTTCCTATCCGGTTCCATGAGAGGTTCTAGAACTCATAACTTTATGGCATCGCTTTACCCCTATTGTTTCATTATATATATATATATATCAAAGAAAATCCGTTGAATGCCAATGTAGATTCAATCGAGATTTGTGAGAGGATCATTTTATATATGCAAAGGATTGTGAAATGTTTTATAAATGAGATCAATAGAATGTTTTTTTTTTTTTTAAATCACATATGTCATAAGACTTCACTCACACAAGCTTCGTTGCTCACCTGATTTTTGCGTTGCCTAATGCACCATTCCCACGATGTAGAGGGCAAGTTTGCATGTGGACATATGTTGATAGATACGAGGTGTCTTGGATAACAGTGCTGGGGGATTGATGCTTGGAGTGATTAGGTTAACCTTGTACCTTACTGTCTTATTTTTTGGTTAGTTCCATTTTTGGGAGCCTACGGACATTGTGCCTTTAAAGGAGGTTTTGTATATATTTTGCAGACTTTTTTGCATTGTATGTAACTGAGAGAGACCCACCAATATGTTATTTATATTTTAAGTATTTTATTTGTATAAGTTGTTCGATACGTACTAATGTGACAATACTAGTACGCTTGATTTTTATATGTGTATTGGGATCGGGGCGTGACATTAGGTGGCCATTAGTGTTTGAAAAGTTTTTACGGGAGGAGAGGATAAGGAATGGAACAAAGTGAAGAGATAGGGAAAGGTAGAAAAGTCATTCTCTAACTATTAGTAAGGGCCTAAAGCTTATGAGGCATTCTTCATTAACTTATGCCCAATTAATAAAAACATCTCATTGATTAAGTTCAAAACAGACATTGGTCATTGATATCTAGCTAGTTAGTAAAGTTTTTTTATTGATTTTTGTGAAGAGTTCATATCCCAGCATGTCTGCAATTAGAGGTCGAAAAAGGATGTCAAGGTCTTGTTCAGCACCAAACAAAATAATGACGAAAGCCTTAAGAAATATTTGAAAAGAAAGTTTAGATAGAGAATAAGCAATTTGGGCCCATTAAGAATACCAATTCACATAGACCGACTTGAGCTTTGGAGTACCCTTTGCAGGTACATGCCGTCACTTAAATGAAGCTTGGGAAGAGACATTCAAAGGCACATCTCGACAAGTATACGGATTATAGTCAACGAATATGTGAAGGTATTTCTTCTTGTACAAAGTTTCGCTCAACAATAACCTTATCATATATGTATTATTTCAGCTCATTTTGGTTCTCGACTGTCTTAGTGGACTACGTACTAAGATTTTGTCTCCCTTCCTCTATATTACCAAGAGAAAATATTTGCTTACAACTGTATACAATTTCTTCTGTTAGAAATTCTTCCCTACTATAACAAAAGATATTATTATTCTAAGGATTATACCCAAAAGATGCGGGTTTAAACCATGTTCTTATTTTTGTGGATCACATAATTAGTAATTTTAAGCGCCATATTACAAACAAAATATTTTAAGCACAAGATACCATTTTTATACGTTTCCACACAAATTCCTACATAAGTTCACGCAGGACTTTCATTTAAATTATATTAAACAGCAAGATTTTGAAAGATGGCTTTTCAATTCTGCCCCTAGTACTTCCCAGAATTAGTAAGGGGAACAACTGTATGCTCCTTCAGCGGAATAACTGTATTCTTTTGCTCGTTGCTTTTTCATTTTGGTATTATATTGAGTTAAACGATATATATAAGTTAAAAGTTGGTTGCCTGCAGCTGCAAGTTGGTGAAAAAGGCACCCTGCTTGGTCAAGAAAACTAATGATTGTATTGCACCAAATGCATGCACTTAAGGCGCTTCTTAGTGCTACAATTAGAGGGAATTGATTCCTATCTGGATTCATTTTGTGGGGAAACTAGGGATCTCTACATATCAGCTATTCATGGTGTATCATGCGATCAGAAATCATTTAACTTTTTTATTTAAAATTAAACACAAATAGTATTTTGACGAAAACTGACCGCATAATATGCGATGAACGACTAGGATGTGAGGATCCTAGAGGATCCTTTTCCCAATTAGAGAGGGACTGCTAATTAAGTGGGTGTGGCACTGTGTTTAGGCATAAATTTTTTAGTGTTCTAAGAACACGGTCCGATACAGTAAGTGTCATAATACAAGTGGTTGAAAGTTTATTTTTCAAGTATACATCCACTTGTATTATGACACTTAGTGTACCGAACCATTTTTTCTAGCACACTAAAAAATCTCTCATGTTTAGGGATGTATTTATGAAAAGCTTGTAATTTTAGTAAGAGAATATCAAATTTGCGCTTCATAGCGAATATTAATTAATTAGAAAACTCTCTCTTTTATTTTAGTGTAACTAAAAATAGTAATATATATCATTTTAAATCAAAAATGTATAAGAGAAAACACGCATGCAACCATTACATTGGAGTCTTTTGTTTGGTATGTGAATTATATTTTTGTTGGTATATATGTGTTGAGACTCTAGAGTGTGTGTTTCCAACTCGGTATGTGAATTATATCTAGCACTACCCGGTTTTAGACTTCCATTAAACTATCTATATCCAATATGAAATCCTATCTTAAATCTTAAACTCAAAATATGTAATCCTTAAACCCCGAAACGATGTACTTTTTAATTCTTGAACATAAGCCAACATCAACAGCAACGATGTACCTTTTGGTATATATGTATTGAGACTCTAGAGTGCGTTTCTAGTTATCCACTTTTTTTGGGCCCGAGGAAGGCAAGTTGGGTATATCATCTTAGCCGTAACTATGATCAAGCAGATTCACACATTTTATTGTATGGGCATTTATGTATAGAGACGATCCAAAATTGGAAAATCAAAACCTCGCATAGTAGTTTAATTGATTTTGGGACTCCCCACTATGTTAGCATTCACTCGGTTAGCTCATCAAGCACATGATGTAGAAATTAAGAGGGATCGAGTTAGTCTTGTTATGGATAAGTTGGAATTTATCGGAGCTCGATGCTTGGCAAACCAATCCATCATAGAATTGCTAAGTTATCCTAGTTGCCCAAGTGTTTGAGTTCATGTTCATGTATATACTACAAGGAAAACCATATAGCTTCTAGATACTTGGATTAAGCACACAACTGAACTACTAGTAAAATACATATAGAATTCCGAACTCCTATTTGAAGTACCAATTCCATAACAATCTTGGAAGGTTGGGTAGAAATAGAATTAATTTCATAATGCACTTTAAGTGCTTTTTTAAACTCAAAAGAACTTTTTACCTTTTATATCAAACATGATTATAAGAACTTAATAATTTGAAATTAATTTTAATTATTTTAAAAGTACTTTTAAACTGACCCATGTATAGCTCATGATCTTGAGCTTGTGGATTACTGATAACAATTTCTTGACATTTCAACTCTTTTCTTCTCTTTAGTTCTCTCGTGTGTGTGAAATGCTTTCTAGAGTCTATATTTCTAAAACATTATTAGAGTGTATTTTTAATTGGTTTTAAGTTTAGTGATCACTTTCTAACATAATTAACGACTATGTTTTTATTTTATAATTTGATATATTAGGCAAGTTGCGATATAGGAAACAGAAAGAGTGGGAAGCTCCACTCTCTAGTACACTAATCATCCCGGCCCACGTCTCGTCATCCTCACATTTATACTGTCCATATATTCCCTTGATGGGATTCCACCTTGAAAATATGGATCCCCTCATTATTATAATCAAATCTTTGTTAGATGATCGCATTTAGTATCATAAGAGAGGGAGGCAGATTGTCTGCCCTCCTTGTTTGGGTGACATTTTTATCCTTTTTTATTTTGTGCAGTGACGGTTAAACTACGTTAATATTTTATATTATTTTTTTAATAGAGATAATAAGATAAAAAAAACAATAAGAAAATAAAATATTGACGTGGTTTAACCTGTGACCATACAAATAGAAGAAGATGGAAAAAGCACCCAAACAGGAGGACAGACAATCTGCCTCCATAGGAGAGTGGGGTGACATAGAAGATGGAAACGTGATATATAAAATCACTGTTCTATTGACGTTTGATGCGCAGTCTCCATACAAAAACGCAAAGCCAACCCAGAACTAGTTCATCCAACATAAACTAAGCTGGCTTACACCCCAACTCTCTTCACAGCGCAGTTCAGCAACACCTGGTTTGCACTCTCTCCCTCTCAAACACTTCACCTAGCTCACAATTCAGATTCATTTCTCAAATCCCGTCCCTCCATAAATGGCTTCCTCCATCAACCTCCAACGGCCACATCTCCACGATGCACGCCACGAATACTACTACAACGTCAAGCAGTACTACCACTTCCATTGTCCCAGGGCGTCACCCAACATACCGTGGTGTACGCCGCAGGAGTAGTGGAAAATGGGTTTCGGAAATCCGAGAGCCCAAAAAACCTAATAGGATTTGGCTAGGCACATTTCCCACACCCGAAATGGCCGCGGTTGCTTATGACGTGGCCGCTATCGCTCTCAAGGGTCAAGATGCTGAGCTCAACTTCCCCAACTCCGCTTCTTCATTGCCCATGCCAGCCTCCACTTCGTCACGTGACATCCAGGCGGCGGCATCCTCCGCTGCTGCGGCCATGGGAGTTGCAATTGATCGCTGTTCTTATTCAAGGGATGAGGTGCAAGGTGGTCACCATAATGTTCATCAGGCTCATAAGACAGTTGATGAGGATGACAGATTTGTGCTGAATCATGAGTTTGTTGATGAGGATCTGATCTTTAATATGCCTAACGTTCTAGTGAACATGGCCGAGGGAATGCTGCTTAGCCCTCCTCGCCTGGACATAGCTGGTGATGATGCTATAGATGCTGATCAAGAACAAGGGGACCAGAACCTTTGGAAATTTTACTAAAATCCCATCTGAATATATCACCAATATCAAGAGGAAAAAATGAAAAAACAAGCGAAAAAGAATAAAGAATAAAATGGACCTAACGCTTGATGTACATGTACGGGGTCTCCATGAAAACTTGTGAAAATATCAAATAATGCTAGTTTTCTTTACTTTGTTTATTAGAGTTAAGTAATTGTGCAGGATTTCCAATATAAGGAATTGCTGTCTTGTTGCACCTTTCTATCTCCATCAACGCATTCTGCGTGCGAAAAAAATAATGTGCAGTGAAACTTTTGTGTGTGTTTGATAATTCTTTTTCCTAATTATTTAAGTCAGTTGAATCAAACAACACTTTGAGGAGCTAATACAGCCTAATTCTCTATTTATATATGTAAAAAAAGAATGGAAATGTTATTGGCACTCCAAAAATCTCATTCTACACTCCTCACAAGTGTATTTTTCTTTCAAATATAAAAAGTTTAGAGTGTAGAATGAGATTTTTGAAGTACTAATAATAATTCCCAAAAAGAATTAGAAAACGAAATTCTACAACAGGAAATATTAAAATGGAACAATGGTAATCATTCTAGAATTGCCTAGAAGCTAGCTAAGCGTTCAATCCATGGTTCAGATTTAGTTCCCTCATGTTTCAAACCAAATGGCCCTATGGCCTATAGTTTGGTCTGGAACTTAAAGCCAACAGGTTAAGAGATTTGGTCAATCGAAAAATCAAGACGTTCTTTGGATTGTTCAAATAAATGTTTGAGATTTATATATATATATATATATTTGGCGTATATAAAATAGTGCTTTCTTTTCTAGATTATCAGAATTAATCCAATATTAAGATATCATTCTAGAATTTAGATGGAGCTCCATAAAAATCTATGGCCCACCTCACTCTTTGTTGACGTGTCATTCTCAACTAGTTGATCACCTCTGAAGTGGCTGTCTAATAGTGATAGAAGATACCTGCAGGAATGTCAAAGATGGAAGTTGATCCTTCACCTTACCTTCCTGTGGTTGGAACCTACACAGTCATGCAAGGATGGCAGGTATGGACTCTATGCCTATCAAAGAATAACATTTCTTTAGACCAACAAAAAAAAAAAAAAAAAAAAAAGGAATAACATTTCTTGCAAGAACGTTGGTAAAACAGACTTCTGTCGGCAAGAATATCTCTGAGATGTTCATCACCAACTTTAAGAAGCTTATTGTGAATCAAAATAGCAAGAAAAAAAAGGCTATAATGACAATTTATCCCGATTGTTGTGTTATTGCAAGAATTTTTTGTGTGCATGTTAAGAAAAATGTTTTAAGTAATTTGAAATTTGTTTTACTTTATTTTGAGTCACATAAGTACCTTTTAGAAAAAGTTTAGGGTTAATCTCAATTTATTATCCTGAAGTTTTTGTGGTTTTCAACATTTGGTATATGAAGTATTTTTCATACCAGAGTTATACCTCAGGTCTTAATTTTAGGACAATTTCATACATCATTAAGTTTTCTGTTAGAATTTCTGTTAATTAATGACGTGACGCCCACGTGGATAATAACTAAACGTCATGTGTTAATATGGGCCCACTTAAATATTAAAATATTAAAAAAATACAAAAACACAAAAAAAAAAAAAAAAAAACTCACCCATCTTCTACCTCCCCCCCCCCCAACCCTCTCCCTTCCTTCTTCCTTCTGCAACCCACACCCCTTCCCTCCCTTCTCTCTTCTGCACCTGCAACACCCTCCCTTCTCTCCTCTTCTCTCTTCTCTCTTCGACTCATCCTTTCCTCTCCCCCTTTTCTCTCCATAACGACCACCTCCTCCGTCATTCCTCTCCTAACCCCTACCCTCCTCTTCCTCCTCCTTTTCCTGTAACCCAATCTAGACCCAAACCCCCACCATCCTCTTCCTTATCCTTATCCTGCACCCCATCAGAATTAATATTTTTTTTTGTGTGATTAATATTAATTGTATATGTCTTTGGTCGAAAGAAATGCTCGAACAGTCTGAGAGAGACCAAAAGGCTTGCTCAAAAATCGGATCAAGAGAAGACCGGAGAGGAAGAGAACAAACTGGATGAGGTATCGTCGGAGAAGAAAAATATTTTCGTCAAAGTCTCCGTGCGCGACGGCCGATCGTTGGGCATACGACAGATCCGAACCCGAGGAACACGGAACCAGAGATGCCAATACGGGTAATGTCTTGGAGCTGGATGAACTGGGTGAACCAGCCGGTGAGTAGATCAGGACGACCGCGAAGTCGAGTAATCCAGCGAGTTCGTCGAGAAAAGTAGGTGATGTAAAGCTTGGAGTGAGTGAGAGTGAGAGTGTGGTGGGTGTTGTTGGGCCATGGACTGAGGGAGAAAGTACCGAGAGGCAGCTGGTGGTGGATTTGTTGCTGAGATGCAGGATAAGGAGGAGGAGGGTGGGGGTTAGGAGATGAATGGTGGAGGAGGTGGTGGTTGTGAAGAAGGGGGGATAAAAAGGGGGGAGAGAAAAGGGGGAGCCAAAGAGGGTGTTGCAGGTGAAGAAGAGATAAGGGAGGGAAGGGGGTTGGGGGAAGGTAGAAAACGGTTGGTTTTTTTTTTTCATATTTTTTTAATTTTTTTAGTATTGAAGTGGACTCATATTGATATGTGGCGCTCAGTTATTGTTCACGTGAGCGCCACCTCATCAGTTAATAGAAGTTTTAACGGAAAACATAACGGATGTATGAAACTGTTTCAAAATTAAGACTTGAGGTATAATTTTGAGATGAAAAAACTTCATGTACCAAATGTTGAAAATCACAAAACTTCAGGATAGTAAACTAAAATTAACCCAAAAGTTTAAGTTGGAAAGAAAAGAAATAGGATTAATGATGATTTTGTACATTTTTGCAAAACCCATAAAAAAAAAACTACACGTTAATCATTTTTATGAAATCAAATAAGTACTACTATTATTTATACTGAATTTTTGCACGGTAACATGACCTATTTTCCATCCATATTCAATAGTTGGTCTTTCTATTTTACCAGCGGACTACAAATCTTGGTGTAGCCGAGTTAATTAAATTCAATATGCTCTCTTCTCAGTTGCGTTTGTCACTCCCTCCTCGTAGTTTAAGTTAGACTAAAATAAAGTGTCGCGTAGAAAAATTAAAACATATTAAAGCTACATATGAACTTAAGATATTCAAATATGCTACAATGTATGTACAGTATAAAAACAAAATATTTTCTTATATAAATACAAAAAAGTAAAATACGTACAATTGAAAAGGCTCCTTGCACAAGCAGTCTGACGATTACTATAAGAAGTCATGATGATTACTTTAAATTGCTAATAGCAATTCATGTAATACGTTAGTTTAGTTATTGCTTGTCTTCCTCCTTCGCAATCCCTCCGAAGTCCACAGTTCGTATCTTGAAGCGCTCAAGCTTATGTGATAACTCCTGAATTGATCCTTGCAGGCCGTGCGTAGCACCTTTTTGTACAGTGACTGAACTTTTCTTTCCATCCACCTTCAGTAGTTGGTCTGCTAATTTAGCCGGAACTTTCTCACGAAGCTCCGAAATGAATCTACGTAATCCATCAAGAGCTTCCCTATCTTCATCTTCTGTTTGTGCTGCCACATTAACATGTTCATGATCAGCAAATTGTCGTGGAAGTGTGCCTTCTGTTGCATATGACTCGGAATTAGTAGCAGTGTTCATCTCGTAGCTGTTTATTGGCCTCGTGGGTTGAGGAAATTGAATCAGTCCTAAAGTTTGCCCTCCACAGGTTTCTGAACTCATAATTTTGTAAATATGGAAGCAGCGTTGAACATAATCTATGTGTTTTCCGACAATAGAAAAGAGTTGGGGTTTGAAGTTTGAAGCAAATCTGAGAGTAAATGCTGTAAGAATATATGAATGACATATTAAATCATTTGAATGCTCGGGTATATATATAGGAACCGGGACGTGAGGATATTGAGCAGGACAACTGTCAACTGGCCGAAAAAGAAAAATTCAAACGTTGCAGTCAATATTAGGAATGTACATGACGAGCGTGGAGTTGAAAAATCAAAAACTCAACTTTGAGAAACAGTCAAGCCTTCAAGCACAAGACAAGAGACTAAATTTTGGGTATTCGTTGATGAATTTAAGGTTTGATTTATGTCCTAATTAAATATTCGTAGTCTAGCTTCTATTTGCACATGTGTATGTATACATTAGTGAGAACTTTTTTGGGTTGAATCGGTCATGGTCTTGGTCTTCCATGACATTGGTAAATACGATATAGGCTTGGTAAATAATACGGGAATTCTAGTAACATTTTTTTGGGAATAATGAACTTATTATATAAAGATAGTATTCAGGTTTAGAAGTGGTTGAAGTTGCCGCTAGCTCTATGTCATTTATAAGTAAGAGATTTTAAATTTGACTCTTATCTTATGCATGCAAGTTTGGTAAAAAATTATTACTATCTCATTGTGTTGCTTAATAGGTGCATTATTTCTTATATTTTCATATCATTTATTCCTGGGGTTTGTTAAGGATTTGGTTTTAAAAGAGCTTGTTATTTTTGTTTTCTCAATTTCAACCAAACAACGCACTTAGAAGTTTTTTTTAATGATATATTGACTTTAAGTTTTGACACAAGGACAATTAAAAAAGAAATCTAAGAGGTTGAGGATCATTGTGTTCAAATTTCATAGTTTTTCGTTGATCTTTGTCTCATATAGTTTTTCAATGATCCAAACATTCTAGTTTTGCAAATTAATCCCATATAAATTACATCATCGTCATAACTGCACATCTATAGAAGAAGGAAGATTTTAAGATCTTCTTGATTTTTCGTAGTGAGGTGCGATATATATCTGAAAAGTTAAGAGATAGAGCTACAAGTTTCTTATTTTTCTAGAATTTTCTAGAAGGTTAAACGGCACAAAACATGCATGCAAATTAGATGATGTGTTTCCCAAGTCAAGGAGTTCTTCCCTAATTTGATTTCTTTACTAGTTTAAGTTTTTGTTTCGTTTAAGGAGAGTTTTTATCAAACTTTTTAGATACTTGTTATATATAATTAGGACCTCAATGCCCTCTCTAAACCATATTATACATCCAAAGAAGAGAGCTTGGGACTGTCTCACCATGGAGCCATGAAATGAATTCCTATGCTCTCTTTCTTTTATTTTTATCTTTGTCTCTAAACTATTTTTTTAAGGTTTATTATGAAGTTATGAAATGAATATTTATGAAGTACTTTGTTAATCATTATTTGATTACATGAGGGACTATGTTTCTAGAAACTTAGATAGATCTAAAAGAATGAGCAATCAATTAGGTTTATTGGAAGATTAAGAAGAGTAGATAAACTAGTTAGGATGACCAATCAAGCTAGTCATACTTGGTTGATATGACTCTTCTACAATTAAATGGTTTCTATGTGTTAATTGTATGTTGAACCAAGGATATAATTTCATTATAGAAATACACGAATTGATGTTTGACCACAAATTAATTTATATCTTACAAATAACAACTTTTAGCATTGGCATGATAATTGGATAGTAATTGGCTCTAGGAAAAAGAAATACAATTGTTATGGATGAATTTATAACTTTAGGTGGCTCCATTGTTTCTCAAACCCTTGTGTCATGTGTTTCGTTTTATTTTTCCTTTTAGTTTCTTGTAGTTTTAGTCTTGGTCAATTATTCAATTCAATCAATCAGTAGCTTAAGTAAGTTTAGCTTGATTAATTGGTTTCATTTGTGTCAAGTGCGACCCTTGTGGGATGGACCTCATATTTGCCCTACTATAGTACTTCTGATCTTATGCACTTGCAAGTATTTAAATTGTGTTTGATTTATCTATTTTTATAGGTGCTCCGAGTGAAGGAAAATTTATGTCCTTACTAAGAACATGTAAAGAACATTTGAATACATAGGGAAACTATTAACAAATTAAAGTAGGCATGCATCCAAAAACAATTCATAAAACCCATGACTTTCAAAGCCTAGTATATGGTGAACCATGACTCTTTAACAACATTAAAGAGAAGAAAGGATTTAGAGAATCATTACCCTTGTAGCTCATCCTTGATTACACAAGGGATTCACCCAAGTGGAGGGCCTTCAAGTCACCTCCTTTTCTTCCTTGAGGATTTGAGGATATGTTCTCCAAAACACCAAAAGCTTGATGTCTCCAAGTCTCTACACCAAAGATTAATTGTGAAGATAAAAATGGATGACTTAGGGGAGAGGAAACTACTAGATCTCCCTCCCTAAGTGGCCGGCCTCCCTTGTTGAAATAGAGAGAATAATTTCATCAAGAAAAACCCTTAACAAAATAAAGTTATAATTTTGAATTTATACTTCATTTCTTGTGAGTGACAAACTTGTAATTAACACAAGTTTGGTATCCCTCACTAGTAATGGCCGGCCTCTCTAAGTGTTTGGGCTAATTGCCCATTTTGTTTTAGTTGTCATACAACTTAAACATAATGGGCCTTGTGGACCAAAACACTTTTGGGCCCCTAAACCCAAAACCAACTTTAGAAGTCCAATACGAACGTTTCGTATAATTAATTAACTTTGACCATACTTCAATTAACCATTTAATTGCTTATCCATTTCATTTAATTACCTCACTTTCATCCTTACTCGGTGTACGATCCATTAGGTTCCAATTAGCGAGGCAGTGGGCGATGTTACTTTTAACTATCGATTGTGAATTTAAACCATATTTCAATTCTCCCTTAAGATTAGTATTTGCTAATCTTTAGGGCTTCAACAAACCATGAGTGACACCTAGCAGCATGTCATGGTTACCCAAGCTAAGTAGAAGTGGTTGGAGAACCTATCCAGTTACAACTACAATGCAATACGGTCCTTCTCTAATACAATACTCTTAATCACATTGTTGAAGTGATAGTTTGTTTCATGTCTACTATCCAATGTGATACTTCCCTATATGATTCGCTTGAATAAGATTTGGAACAAACTTCCTAAGTCATATTCATATGCTTTGGCCAAAGACTCTCGAATCATATCTTAGAGTATTCTCCTTTCACCATGGAAGGTTAGAGATCCCTTGTTGTGTATTCATATGCCTACATGACTAGATAGCTTGACCCCAACCATACCGTGGACACTCCAAAGGAATGCTATTTGACACGATCAAAGATCAAGGACCTAATCATTAGACATCTATGATGCTTCAGGTCAAATGACTACTTTGCATATTGTAACCATCGAGTTCTTACATGACATGTATGTTTGAACTCTCTTTTGATCATAGTTCAGTGTACTCGATTACTCTTTCAAGCACCTATGTGTTTGTCTTAGTGTCCAACACTAAATGACTTGAGACTTGTCATATCCATACTTGAGTCGACATAACACATACTAACCTTAGCGGATTGTCAATGCCCAATTGGCAAGCCTATGGCTAGGAACGTTTTAGGAATGAACATAAGAGAAAGGTCTCGAAAATCTAACTTACTTAGATCACTTATCTCTTAGATCAAATACATTCCTTGGATTCCCTTATTGCTTAAACACAAGATACAATAAATAGTGATTAACAATAAGCTTTGCCCTCCATTAAACATATAAAAGTTTAATACATTAAGTATTCCAAAAAGCTATTACATCAAATGAGTGGCTTTGTGGGCATACTTCCAACACCGAGATCACATCCTCGCTTAGTTTAATTATGATATAGAATAGATAGCCGAGTGGATTGAAGACAAAATGGATCAAGGAAGACAAAAGGACGTAGCGGGAATTTACAGAGTTAGTATCCGAGTTTCGTTTTGGGCACATATTACCTTCCAAAAAAGAGCAAGGTGTTTCAGTTCAAACACACTGCCATGTTGTGAAGTATGACAAATTAAAGCCATCCAAGGTTGTTTAGATTTCTAAAACCGTATTTTAAAGTTTGCAACAAAGATCAGACTTTTCGTTTTACATTTGATTTACTTCTTTTATATTTCCTAAGACTTCCCTGAACTTCTTAAGGGTCGAGTCAAGTCTATTTAAGCCTTATGGCTGCTTTTGTATTCAACTTTCAAGAATTATTCAAATAAACCTTTCGGTTTTCTCATAAAATTTGGTAGATTTTATAACATTGTTCTTCAAAGGCTTACGTTGGTATCTGCGTCAAATCCCTTTCCCAAATATCGTTGTATTTAAAGAGTAAATTAAGTTAGGGATGACAATTTCTTCCTTATTCTTGTAGGGCCTACCTTAGGACCAGTTTGGGATTGTTATGTTTTTTTAATAAATTGTTTTTGTTGTACTTTAAGAATAATCAGTCGCAAAATAAAGTAGTTGAGCGTTGATAAACTCAATTTTTAATAGTGTTATGAGTTTGAAAAGCAATGTAAAAACAGTATCTAGAAGGATAAATAATGTCATTGTTTAAAATTAATGAGCTTATTACATGAATTCAAATATTCTAAAGGCTAAGCTCTGCTTTTTATTAAAACAGCTTTTAAAATCAACCTACAAGCTGTTTTTAAAAGCAATTGTTTGGAAATCATTGCTTTGAAAATAAACAATATATTTTATTTTTTCCAAACACTTTTTTACTTCTTAACTTTAAATTGAAGCAGTTTTTGGTGGGACCCAAAAAAAAATCCAATACCAAACTGGGCCTTAATGAGGCAAGGACGGGATTTCAACTCTCATGATCATCCCAACATATACGTATGTGTATTATGTTTGTTTTTCTAGTTAGTTCACAATACTAAAATTTAGATTTGTGCCTATATTTTAGTTTAATAGTATATTTGTTTCATATGAAAGATATATATCATTGCATTTTTCATGTACTACATTATGAGTTTTTATTATTTGTTGAAGAAAGAATTAACGAAAAGAGTTAAATAATATAAGATATAAAAAAAACAAAATAAAAAACAAAAAAGATGCCACCATTTCTTGCCCACTACGTTTCTAATCATGCAAATCCTGTGTGTCGAGAGGTTGAATCTGGCGCACAAAACTTGTGAACAACTAAATAAATTAGATGGCCAAACCTGCTTGACAAAAAAACGTGATGTATATTTTATGGGCTAATATTTGACCGTTTTATAAACAAAAAAAATAAGTATTTGAAAATTAAAGGCTGCTTTCTTCCTAAATTTCCCATTTCTCTTCGTATCAATTAGTTTCCCTATTTTCTTCCTTCTCATTTTCCCCTTTTTCTTTGCCCATATTTTTTTCCCAAACATTCATCAAGGTCATATTTGCTTTGCTGAAAATGCATGCATGCTTAGTCTTTAATACCATGGTTTATGCAAAAGAAGATCTAATTATCATTTCACTGCATAAATATACATGCTTAGTATTTATATTTGGAGTCTCATAATCTTTTCACTCCAAGAATTTAGCTCTGTCGTGATCCACAACAACAACAAGTGAGCTCAATCGACAATATCTACAAAATTCAATCATGTTCAAACACTTACATGTAATATTTAATAAGACACTTATCATTGTGAAATCAAAATACAAAAAAGACCTTATTTAGTGACATATTATAATACTAATTGGTAAGCATATGAACACTATAAAAATTAATAAATACATATAAAAAAATTATATTTGTATGGATAATACTTAGGTACTACTCACTAGTGAGTACGCTATATATTCACTTTTTAATTTTGGTCCAATAATATTTTAACACATTATTTTTAAAATAATACACATGTTATTTAATTTTTATTGAGCTTTAAGAAACAAGGAACATGTAGCATATTTTGATTGAGCCAAATAAAAAAGTGCTTATATGAGGTACTCACTAGTGAATACCTAAGTATTACTCTATTCATAGTGGAGGATAGTAACTAATAACAGTGTAAAAGGTCTGTGCCAAGGTGAGTATCAACAAAATCAAAGCAGCAAACGCAGATATGAAGGACCATGGAGTATCAAAATAAGTATACTTGAAGCTAGCCCATTGAACATGCCAACTATTCCCATAATAGTGATGCACGTCATTGAACAACTTTGACAAGTAACACCTATCCATATCAAAAGCCACATCCTTCCCCAAATTATTAATAAATCGAGCAACTTCCCCATCGTTCCCAAAGTAATTCTCGAGGATGTTACGGTCACACAAATACTCAACATCCTTGTATGTGTTCACAAGGCAATCGAGCAATGTTGCGTAGGTGGTGATGTGCTTAGAAGTTGACTTGTGGCACTGCTCATAAGCCACACAGTTGAGCAAGAAGGAGCTCATGAAATCGTCGACTGTTATAGTTGGCATTTCGATGACTCCGCTCTTGAATTTGATCACCAAGAAGCTTTCGCCCTTGCCCCGATTGAGCTTGATTCCTGCACGGCGAAGCTTCGAGACACAATGGATGGTACGTGTTGGTATGGTGTTGCTACTACGTGGCTCCTCATGGCCTGGCGGTATAACACTTGAGCGCAACAAATCGAGCAAATGCATACCTGCAAGCAAGGTATTAAACATCGATGTAAACGTATAGAAAGGACCACAAACTTCTTAATTAAGATAGGTTAAGGGTTCGATCACTTTCGATGTAACAAAACAGAACAGAGAATTTTCAAAGAAAGTTTTAGAAATATCATTGAAGTTTGAGAGCTTGCCTGTAAGATTTTGGTGCTTTTGAATGACATGATCAGGCCTCTGCATATGGTTGTTGAAGAATTCCAAGGTAAGCAACGACAATGACTTCCCATTTTCTTTATGTTCTTCCGTAGTTGTGAGATCAAACAAAGCCAGGAGAACAAAGTAGGGTATTTGATTTTCAAGCCTAAGAAAATCCCTAACCAAAAATGGGATTATCCAAACCATGTTGACAAGAGGATCGTCACGCTCGAACCGGACCAAAAGGCGGACTTTTCGTAACAATTCGATTATAAAACAACCATCAAGAACCAACATTTCCAAAAATTCTTCCGTGGTAAGATTTATTCTTTCTGAGTAACACTCTCTAGCTTCTTGTTCCAATGGCTCCAAGGCCTTCAAGTAGTCCTTTAAAGACAACCCTTTGGGCTCTGTCCTTGCAAGCAAAGAACCCAAATATTTCCACTTGTGCTCTTCGATCATCTTGACCCGTGGCTCTCCTCTGTGGTATGGACCGATGGAGACGATGTGGGGGTTGTACGACTTGCCGTTTATCTCGAGAAGACTCTGTGGGACTCTGAAGATGCAGCAGGAGGGTTTGCCTGCTGCATTGCTTAGGAGTTTTGGGGGTTCTGAGATCATCTGGTACATGGTGGCCAACCGATCCTTGTTCACTTCCCAGATGCTGATTGAATGACTGTCCATGTTGGGTTGTTGTTGCTGCAGTGGATTGGTGTCCATCTGAGTTGTGATCTTGGAGGTGGTGGTGATGGTTGCGGCGATGAATTGTAGTTGTGAAATTTTGAAGTTGCTACTTTTCTTTTGTGATGGGGATTAATCAAAGGAAGATTTGTAGAGGGAAGACAAGTTGGTTTGAAGGACAGCTAGACAATGACTAGGAGAATTGAATACAATCAAATGCCACCACCAAGGTCCAAACTTGATTAAACCAACTACCATTTTTTTTTATTGTTTAATTTTCTATATCAAAATTTCTCTTGTATTAAGATGAGCACATATATCTATCATTGAGTACTGCAGTATAATGGTAACTTTTTTTTATTTGTAAGTGTGATACCATAGATATGGTATGCATGAACTATGTAGTTCACTTGCACGTGGCCCTTTACCACAATGGTGGAAATGTGTTAAGCCACTGCATGACAGCATGAGTTTGAACCTCATTAGTGACTAATCTAACAAAATCTATTGTTTGACAAAAAAAAAAAAAAAAAATTGTGTTGTTCACTCTTATTATAATACGTGAAATGACAATTATGTGCTTTGTGATGTTCTTGATACCGAATTAAAATAGTATATTTGTTATCAAAAAAAAAAAACAGTATATTTTCCACATCTGATATATTAAAACTTGTTGCAGTCATATTTATAATAGGAATCTGATTGTGTAAATCTTAGGGAATCTGGGAAAATATTATATAGTCCTATTATGATTAGATTACGTATTAAATGTTGTAATCCTAAAGGGAAAGGTTTTGCCATTTCTACTACTATAAATAAAAGCACAATGTGGTAAATCAAACACCCACAATTATACATCTCTCCCTTCTCTCTACTATTGCCGCACATTTCTCTATCTATGACCTCCATAATTGTTCAGTAAATAATACCTACAACACGTTATCAACACGCTCTTGACGCTACGCTAAATAGAGTTTGATCTTCAATCAGGAGAGTATTACGTTTTAATCATTCCTTTTGTGATTAATTTAATTATTTTATTGAATTGATCTACATGTTATTGATTCAATTTAATTTTTCTATGTTGAACGTGATACAACGCATTAGAGATGCAATTCTGGCTTTCTGAGAAGGATCTTCTACAAATTCAAAGGCTTTTGTTGTTTTCTGCCAATCAGCTACGCTTAAAATAAAGTAAGATATTTGAAACGACCATGAAGCATGAAAACATTCCCTATGATGCATGAATCCCTTACATTTATATTTACCTTCCGATATATATATTGTGTACGTTTCATATATTTGTCAATATATAAATTTGTTTCATGCATTACGCAATTATGCTATGTGGAATTTGTGAGTCAAAGAATATAAATAAATTAGAAGCAATTTAGGATTTTCAAACCCTAATTATGTCAGAAAAAAAAATATATCGGCATTTGCAGCACTACCACCTCGGACACCTTGGACCCCTCACAGCAGCAGCCATAGGGCCTTGCTGCGCTAACCTAGACTATTAGGCCTTTCGGCCTACCTCTGTTTATAGGGCCTACAGTCCCTAAGTCAAAAAAGCCAGCAAATTTTGGCCCATTGTCCTGCGTCCCTTGGCCCGTGAACTCACTAGGCTTCGCCCCAATCTCGGCTTGCTTGCCAGCAGCTTTGGCTGCTGGGCTTAGGTTGCCTCGGACCTAACCCAGGCCAGCTTTTCACTGGGCCTGAACCCATGCCCCTCCCTCGGCCCATTTAATCCAGCAGCTTGTTGCTAGGGCTTTTGTCCCTCTTGGCCAGTGGGCTACTCACTGCCAACCCGAGCTCTTTTTCTCATGGCACCCAGCCCTTCTTTGGGCTATGCTATATTTTTGATCCAATAATATTATTTTGCTTCTACGATCAACCCCGAATAGTCTCGATCTATTGAATTAATTAAAAGTGACCTGCAGTCCATTATTCTGATAGTGAATAAAAAATTATTGACCTGAAGATCACTTTTGGACATTATTGACCTGAAGATCACTTTTGGACATTAACGATTCAATAATTTATTTTTATACTTTTAACTATCACATACTTTCGTAGTAACGAAGCTCTCACACTTAAATCAGCATATTGCATTCTGTGTTTCTAGCAGGAACCTCTCTTTTATGAACTAAACGTTCATAAACTAAATTGAACCTGTAGTTTCAAATTTAGCGCCTTTGAAACTCGAAGTTTTCATAAAACAATACACCCATGAAAACCCAATGTTTTTTCATGAACACCATGTCTTAGAACTCAAATGTTCTAACTTTGATGCTTATGGATGATTCATTCCCATAGCACCAATCACAATCTTGTTCCCCCCAATTCAGTGGATTGTCAAATCATCATAAGTTCGATTTTCTTGATTTGGACGCTTTCTAATAGAAACCACTTTATGTGGGGTACAAGACGTGAATCTCCACTTGCCTATCAAGAAGCTGAGAAACCATTGAAGCCAACAATGGCAAGGAAGAGTTGAATAAGCCTTCATCATGATCTTCATTCAAAGACATATGCCCGAAGCATTATCAATGGAAATACCTCCCAAACGAGGATTCCATGGCTCTTTGGCTCGCTCCTACGGACCATGTGATCATGCGACATATTACCCGAAGCACACCATGATTACATTCATGAATGAGTACAATTCTGAAGTTTATAAATCCGATCGAATTTTGACTAGAGAATATTTTTCTCATAATTCCATGTTTCTAACTTGCCACTAAAGCAGTAGTGTAGAAAGCCAAAGTTTACCAAATTCTCGAATCTGATTATTACAACAAACGTGAGAGAACGGTATAGATTCAGTTTGGCTGGAGTCTACCGAATAGCTTGACCCAGTTCAGTCAAAACCTAACCGAATAGTGATGTATTGCTTTGGTAAGGATACACCATTTAGCATACTCTCTCACAATCCAATTTTGAGTTTGTTTTTACAACATATGGTAAAATCAGGGCCTACCAAGGTGTGGCATCATGCCCGAAGCATGATCCTTGGTACCTAAGACCTAAAACTTCAAGAATAAGGGATAATATTTTCGAACCTTAACCCTGCAAAATCTTCTTCTGTCTTGATGGAATAGATCATTGGTTATGCACCTATTCGTGCCCCTACCAATGTTGTTAAGGAGTACCATTCTAGTAATCAATAGGTGAAACTAATTTTTGCTCCACCAAACACCGTTGGAAGAGCCGAATTTTGACATGGATAGCCTTGTTGGCCGAATCCCCTTTGTAAACCATTTACTTTGTGAACATTTTTCCATGTTCTTGGATTCAAGTTTGGTGTATGTTTTACTTATGGATAATCTTATTGATATTGTCCTCGAATATGAGTTAATTGGATCATGTTTTTCTTAATATATGTGACCGATTCAATTAAACACATGATTAGGTAGGAATGTGGGAAAGTTAGTTGTCTAGATGAATGCGTACTACGCACACTAACTTTACACCTAAATCACATCTCTAACAACGACTTCAGGTCTATCCAACCTGATTAAGAGCATTGGCACGCTCCTCGTTGTATGAATGGTATTGCATCACCATTTAAGGGACCTTAAATTCTCTCTGACGTTGAGTTTTTATGGATATTCGAGATGACAATGATCATAAATGAAACCATTAAAGAAAATATAGTGAAATATCTTTTCACCACCTCCAAAAATGAGCATGAAGCTTTGATTTGGGACCAATGGGTTGTCTCCCAACTGGGAATACACCACATGTGGCCAGCCTGGAGCCTGGTGATTGAGCAGTTTACTTGCTTTAGCTCAACCTTTTGGGACACTTAAGTTGAACAATGATGCTACAATGCATCTCTTTATTTAAAGTAAGGATATTGTGCCTACGAGCACATTTTTCCAAGCATGCTTATTAGGGAAATTGATTTTCTATATCATTCCTTGCAAAGATACGACACGATTCTCTTTTCACAGTGGATTCAAGGGAATATATATAGACTAATCCAACCAAAACGCAGACCATATAAATATATATGGTTTTGGTTGATGAATCGACAAACTGGTCACATGTTTGTCCACACACATTACTGCTAAACCTCTTGGCCAATTATGGGTTCACCACCCTACTTATCCCCTAAGATCCAGGAGACTGGATAATGCCAGAGAGTTTATATTGAAGGTTTTCGCTAAAGTATTGCATGTCGTTTTGGTTTCTAATTGAACATCAAATTCCCATGTTCACCCCAAATAGCCTCGCCTAGTGATCATAAAGCGTGAGTTAAATGATCGCCCGAATTTTGGTGAACATACCAAGTTTTTGGTTTCTGCCTAGGGCTATGCAATCCTTGTACGCAGTTATGTTGGTCTGCCTTGAGGCCCATTGCCACCCAACCTATATGACGTTACAATTGGTTACTGGGTACGAACCTGACCATTTTCGTATTTACGCATTTGGGTGTGCATTCCATGTGCCAAGTTGCACCATCACAGCATACCACAATGGGTCCTCAAAGAAGGATGTGTATCTTTTTTCGATCATGATTCTCCTTCACACTAGCTCTATTTGAGCCCTTGCATGCAATATCTTTACCGCTTATTTGTGGGTTGTCACTTTAATGAGACAGTCTTCCCGCCGTCAGGGGGAGATAAGAATGTCAACGTTCCTAGAGAACTGCGCAAATTTGCATGGACGTTGCCCACTATGTCTCATCTTGATCCACACATGTATGATAAGTAAGTGCGATGAATTCTAGCTTTCAAAATGTTGCCCCATACGTATTCCTCTAATCTAGCTAAAGTGACGAGATCATATACCAGTTGCAAACATGTCTGTAAGGATAGATGTACTTAACGGACATCGAGTCAACATCCCTGGAGGGTGTGCCGCCCCCGTTGGACAATATGGACGGTCCGGTACACAGGCAGATAGCCAATCAATCTGTCTAGCCTAGAGCACAATAGATCACTCGATTCGTATGATTCACTTCCCTAGAAGAGGGATACACGGCACAATAATGAATCTAAACTCGTTCGCTGTCTCAAATCATTTCCATCTCATAAGATTAATCCGGATTTCTCCCGAGACTTAAAGTTCTTGGTCCAGTATACTAGTTTGGATTAGCTAAATGGAATTGAAATGAGATTATCATCGATGATGTTTTCACTTATATGGTAGTTACCGACATAAATGAAAAGCGACGATATCGAACCGTGTTCCATTGATTAAGTGACAACGTAAAACTGATTGGACAACTAAAGTTATAGTCTAGGTCAAATTCCTTACCAAAGTGTGTATTGGACCAGTCGTTCCTACACAGCCCAAGGTAACCCTATTATGTTACAAGTGGGAAAGGAAGCGTTATGAGATGAATGAAATAGTGCGATATGATGCACGTCTTACGGCGCAAGGTTTCTCTTAAACATCATGTGATTAATAATAGCATTATGAAATGTGGTTAGTGGTTTCTCCATAGGGATATAGATACGAAGATTTACATGTAAGTTCTCGAAGAATTACATGGACTATTTCAGATGATTCCAAAACCACGGAACTGAAGGAAAATTTGTGAAAAACATGTTCATTTAAGCAACATCAATAGCATGCAATTAACATATTAAAGGCGGAATCATGCTTGTATGCACTTAAAACAAAACATTTACCCATGAAATTCAAAGCCTAGTAGATAGGTGAATCAAGACTCAACTCAAAAATAAAGTGAGTTGAGAAATCAATACCTTTGTAGATTCCTCTTTGCATAAGCAAAGGCTAATCACCCAAAGAGAGGGTCTTCATTCC